TTTTTTATTTAATATCATCGACATGTCACTGAAACAGATTATGACGCCATCCCTGGCCGCAAGACGAAGAACCCTAGTGAGAGTACGTAAGGAATGCTAGGAAAATTTCCTACCAGTCCTCTGCGGCACTTACAGTTGAAGCCCCTTGCGTCCCGTCATGATGCAGCACCACACTCATGGCCATGGCAGGTGTCTCTCCGTAAAAACGGTTACCACTCTTGCGGCGGATCCCTAAAAAGGCCTGATTGGATTGTAACGGCAGCACATTGCGTCCACAAAACTCCAGATCCAAACGCGTACACAGTAGTTGTTGGTATGTAATGTAATTTGTAAGACTTGATAAGAAGAGAGATGGGAGGACGAGTTCTGTTCTTGGATTAATTCCTGATAAGCATTGTAATCATCTTTGAGTCCACCCGTACTGATGCCTTCATGTTTTGCCTTAACCCAGAACAACACATACACTTAAAGTAAAATAAAGTAAAATCCTTTATTTAAAACACGATTATCGTTTGAGCACTACATGTTTAAGGAGTCGTGTACTTACAGCGTCTGGTGACATCAAGGTTTCTTGATTTGATGACAATTTAACTGAATTCACTTTCTTTCGCGAACGGGGATCAATATTCACAAGTAGCGAAATTCAGTCTCTGAAAAGACCAAAACATTTATTTCTAAGTTAAACCAGTCGGTCACTCACTCCGCTCCTTACTGTATCTGCAAAACAAAACTTGTTGGCCTCAGAGAGGATACCATTTCTATAGTTAATTCAATATTTACCACCAGATTTAACGAACATATTACATACATTTTACATACATGCTCGTTATGTTGGGGTGATATTGTTACCATTCTCTCTATCTTCAGGTGCTCACAGGCGAAAAGGAACAACGGACGCGCAAGAAAGTGTAAAAGTCAAAGCAATACATAAACACAGCGGTTTTAACATGAAACATTTGAGACACGACATAGCTGTTCTTCAACTGGAAAGGCCAGTGGAATTGAATGACAAAGTTACAACAGTTTGTATGCCCAGCAAAACACCAGATTTAAACGCTAATTGTTACATAACAGGTTTATCGCATAACAGTAAATTATCGCATGTTTTAATTGTATACTGTAAATTTTAATATATTGTAAAGTAGTCTAGTGTACCCAATTAATTCTTAATTTCGTATTCTTAACTGTATATTTTAAATCTTAATCTATTGTAGCGTACTAGTGTCCCCAATTAGCTTCTGTAAGCTAAATACTTACCCTGACACTTAAATAAAGTTATTATTATTATTATTTGTTAAGTTCCGGCTTCTTTTTATTTTGCAAGAATATGACTTCGTGTTCTCTTTGATCTCTGGCAGCAGACTGAGGCTCATCTCAATCTCCACTTATACGTTGTAGGCTGGGGGCGCGTTTCTGGTTGGGGTCCACTTGCTGATCAACTGAAACAAGTCAAGCTGCAGGTCCGGTTTGATGAAGATTGTGAGGCAAAATACAGGAATTTATATGAGAGAAATGTTCATTTGTGCGCCGGGGAAGGACGGGTACGAACCTCTGGTGGTTGCCAAGGAGACAGTGGTGGACCATTCGTTTGTGAGATGGGAGACACTTGGTATCTGCAAGGTGCCGTTAGTTTTGGAATGACACGTTGTACTACTACATATTACTATACAGTGTTCACAAAGATTACCAGTCACGAATCATGGCTTCTTGAAATCATAGGTTTGTTATTGCGTTTTATAAATTTTCTCGCAGACTCTTCCCGATCGACGGCTACGTGTTTCACTACCGTCATTCATCTTAGCAAACCTTTCAGGAAACAGAAGTTTACTTCAGCAGGCTCAAAACGTTAAGTCTGTGGGTTGTGCACGGAAAATTTCGATTCTTTTCGTTTGTTTCTGTCTTTCAAGGCTTGATGGTTGTCTTCGTAATAATGGTTGGCGGCGGCCAAGGACGCCATCGCTGGTTGGATTCGGACCTCAGAGTTCGCGTGTTATTGAAATGCGCAGTAAAATTAATGATTGCCGTTTTATTTAAAAAATGAATTCCATGAAATATGAACATGATATTTAATCATTGGAAAAAAGGTACCGTAGATGCTTTAGAAAGTAATGCATCTTACAACAAAATTTAAAATATTCCGACGATGGGCCTGCATTTTCTTTTCGAATTTCATGTACAACTTGACGATTACTCTAACTCTCTTAGCTAGAACCTTCTCAGTATCTACTCGTGCTAAGTGTCCTTTCCCCTTACTTCCCAGGAGAAGGTGGTGGAGGTGGTCACAACACACCGCAACCGCCAGCCCCAGCGACACCACCACCGCAAACCACAAGCCCCGATACCATGCCAACACCAGCGACAGAAAATCCTCCTCTTTCAGGTTTGCCCTTTTAATCAGCCAGTGAAAATCACTTAAAGGCAGCGTGGGAGAGTCAATTCCTAACAGTATATGAATTTTGCCAAACAATTTTTGAAGGTAATGAAAAGGATTCAAAATAGACCAATATAATCGAATTGTTTTAATTACATCAAAGACGCTTGTTAGGAAACATTATCAAGCGATTTTGAGAACTTGGAAAATGCGTTATCCTCTACTAGGCACTAAAATAAAACAAAATATATGTAAATAAAGCAGAGTAATAATTCAAACGGATGGGAAACATGATCGGATCTGACTAGATCAGAGACTGAAGATACCTTTACGAACCACCAAAAGAGGGAAAAAACAACTCCTATAAGAACATCGAGGTGAACTTTCTAACAATCATCACTATTAAAATCCTAATATGTTAAGTTAATTTTCAGTAAGGTATTTGGCAAAGCATGCAGTCTTTCGGGCTCATGTAACAAAGCCTTTAAGTGAACAGCTTTTTTATTAAACGTTTATAACAAGTCAGGGTAAAAAAAGGCAAATCTTCTGCGTTTCGTGGAACTGGGGGAAGGACTCATCCTAAACCAACCAACCTGTAGCGGCTCGTCCATGTTGTGATGGACATTCAAAGCAATAACAACTTGTTAACCGCGCCTCCTTACTCGTAAAAAGTGGCGCAAGTGACCACTCTTCGCATTTCCTTTCAGGTTGCAGATAAACGAAAAACTATTGTGCTGGTAATCAATATTCTTGTGATAAAATGCCAGGCTTTGAGAAGACCTGCGCAAAAACGTGCAATAATTGTAAGTACTTAACTCACAATCCATATATATGTGCCATTTTATCAACACTTCCTTACAGAGGTCTGCGAAACTACTTCAGGTTCATTTCAATTTAAACCTTAGTTCGTTCGTCTAAAAAAAATTAAAAAAATAAATAAATAACAATAACAATAACAATAACAATAATAATAATGATAATGATAATGATAATGATAATGATGACAATAATGATAATGATAATGATAATGATAATAATAATAACAAATGCCAGCCTGTGCATTTGGCAGAAATCCGTCCACGTCATCTCCCAACAAACGTTCATTAGGTTACGTTCAGTAAATTCAAACGTAATGCTAACATTATGTTAACTGTTCTCTGTCGTAGGTTAGACATTACAATAGAAGACTTCATATGATATACGGTTTGAATTCCATTTTTGACGATATACGTCATGTTGAAGATAGCGTGAAATAAAAATTACTCGTTAATCTTAAATGTACTTTGTCTTTATTCACAATGCGATTTCAGTGCTGGGAAGGGTGTCAAGAGGTGGCCTGGAATGAGTAAGGATTTATATTAAACTGGGGAGAGAATAGTTTTATAGTCGGGGAGATCTGGGTATGAGATTAGGCGAAGGATCCATAGAGCTCCAGAAAGTGAGTAAGAGCAAACGCGATTACTTTGTACACAACTATTACACTTTCGTCCAATTTTGCGATAAGTCCTCTTACGACCACGGACCACAAAGTTATATTACCTTTACTAATCAAAATTCCAGAATTCAAAATAAAATTCAGAATTCTATTAGACAAATTCACGGATCTGATTATCAGCAAGCGCGATGCACGATTTGAGCACATATAGAGCGGTAAACTTATCATACCTGTGTAAATTCTCAGAGAGTTAACGCGTCCCGTTTGATGTGTTTATTAGTTCGTCCACCTCTTTCTCGTGCAGCGTTAAAGAACAGTGGGAGTTTACTGAATCACTGAAAAAAATAAACGCAAGTAAAAATGAAATAAAACGCCAAATACAGATTATTATCATATTTTTGGATAAATCACAAGTGATGCTTCTTGTCAGAAACAGCGAAACAATTTTCAACAGCATTGAAGCTTTATATGAAAAAATTATGTCAACAATCAATTTAATTTAAAGGCTGTTTGCAGGTGCACGCGTTTTTCATTTGTCATCAGGTCATCCTGTCGACAAAACAAACAAAAAAATAATGAACTTCTTTTGTGAGCGTACTGGGACTACCGATTTTGTGGCAAAAACAGGAAAATAATCACAATGAGAAGGTTGACAGGATCGAATACCAGGTTGAGAAAAAAAAAACAAAAAAACAAAACGTTGAAATGAAATCCAATGTCAAGCATTTGGGATGTATTTGAGAAAATGTCGTCAAAACCTCTATCAAATTATCAACGCCATTTTCAGGTGTCATAATAAAGTACATGCAGGACCCAATTGAAGGTCGAGAAAAATAAAAAAAAATTAAAATCGTGCTGTGATGGAATACGATCCTCGACTGAAAGTTTTATTTTCCGGAAAACACCAGCGCAACCTGCCAGTTTCCACTTTTACTTCGTCATGAACAGTTTCATTAACAATTTTACTTTTTACAAAGAATAAGTGAAAAGACAAAATAACAACCGATAACATCCCACGGCGTCATCGTAAGAGAGTAGAAGATAATTTATAAAATTGAGAAACCGATAAAGGGAACAGAATAGCAAACATGACTATCAACCAATCTTTATGACGTCATAGTAACCTACCCCGTTGCTATAGAAACTGCTTAAAATTGTTACTCATAATACGAACAGCCTCTATAACTTTTGTATTTTGTTATATTTATGTTCTCGAAGATATTAGCTAATTTTAGTTAAAAACACCCCTCATCCTATAATAAGCGGCACAACTCTAAAATCAGTAGTCGGTCACTTTCAGCGCACGATGCTGGTAAATATACAATACGTCGCTCTAAATGGCCCGGTGCAGCTTGCTTTGTAACATTACAAGTCAAATAGCTTATTTTGGTCGATTCACTGTCGAAATATTATGACGCTAACGATAATTAAACATGTACATGTACTCTTGGAGACAGTTTTACTATACTGAGATTATCGTGGCCTCGAAAACTCCTTTCTCTTAGTATTTTTAAATTAAAAGATTAATTTTAAAATTCAATACGTAAGTACGTTGTCGCAACTATTCTGCACTACATTTGGTTCATGACAGTATGACAGTGTGCCGATTAAAAGTCTCCAGAACAATTCCTCCCAAATGAACGGGATAAAATGTAACGGGTGTTTCTCACGTTTAGAAACCTAAGATTGAACAGTGTCAACAATATAATACATTACGAGTCAGAATCTAATTACAAATTTGCTCTCAGATCCACGACGTTAACGCTGTGTTCGATTCTGTCAAAGTTTCTAAAGGATAAAGTGAGCCGTCACGTTTTGGCAATAAAAACGAGGAACTCTTTTCACATTGGTTGAAGATGTGACACCTGGAAGAAAAACTTTGTCGTTTTTGCTCTTTTTGTTTACTTTTGTTTAATATTTGACTGTTGAAACCGGTTTGCTTGACGACAATATGGACAGGTTTTTGTTTGTAATTATGTTTGTTTGGTTTATCCACCAGGAATATGCATTATGTTCAGTCAAAATTAAAATTTATTACTAGCAGGGTGCAACATTACACGTTCCACTACATGTACTGTATTATTTTGTTTTTTTTTTTGAAAACACAAAGGTTGAGAAATCAGATGAAATAGAGCAACAGTGCCTTCTTGGTCAAGTTTATGAACTGCAAAGTAATCTTCAGAAAGCTTTGTCGCTCCTAACAAAATAGTCCTTTTTAAACTATGTAGTTTTTGTCGACATCTTCACAAGTGGTTTTCAACCTTGTCGTCTGAGTTGTGTTTCTTATAAATGATCGCCATACTCAAGGTAGAATAATAAAGGCCATTCTACTGACCGACTATGATCAGCGCGTTCATTAATTAAAGAACTTTCGATAAGCTCCATCTATTTTCCTTTTTTCTTGGAACTCATTCTCGATGGTAACTTCAATTGCAATCCAATTTGATTACTGAAAAGTAATCCAGCTTTCGCTTCGCTGGCTTGCAATACCAAGATCTAACGTCAGAACATCAAACTTGACTTTGTTTTTCTAGGTAATGAACTCAGGTTGGACTATGACTGAGATTAGCTCATACGGCTCTTGTTCATTCTACTCCAGCTCCTCAACACTGCAATAATTGTCCAGTCCTCGGACTGTACTAGCCTTTCCTTTCGTTGGTACTCCCTTTTGCTTAGTGCTTTCCATCTGAGCTGGAATGACCCGAGTCGATGATATAATTCGATCCCTTATCGCCGGAATACAATGAATCGTCCGAAGCAGTACCAGACGAAATCGTTCGTTTCTCCAGACGTAAATACAAGGATTTATCGCAGAGCTCAAGAACAAAAGGGTGAACAACCACTCAAATCTCATCTCGTCTACCATATGTAGGTAGTCAAACACAATATCAGGAAAGAAACACACTAATGAGGAAGTCACCAAAATTGCTGAAGTCTTGGCAGCACTGTTTTCACTATGAATCTTTGTCGCCTTATGGTTGAAAGAAACGGACTGCATCTGAGAGGAAATCTTGCGTACCTGTTTTCGTGCCACCCAAAATATGTAAGCGTATGAAACGATGAACATGCTAAACATGACAGCGTGAACATGGGCTGATATCTCTCGCCCAGAATCGGTGGTGAAATAGTAGGCAAGAATTACGGACGAAACCCAAATCCCGCCAATAATGCCTACGTATAAGCGTTTGCGATGATGAGACATGGTGTAGGAGAACGGATGCAGGAGCACCGCCATGCGGTTGATTGTTATTCCAGTGAGACTGTTGAAGGACGCGTGGAGGCCGATAAAGGCTACTACCTCAAAAGCATATTTGAATTCTTCACTTTCCTCAATACACAAGGTGACCATGTACATCGGTTGCGCCGCGAGGCACACGATGATGTCAGCAACAGATAAGCTAGTGATGAGTAAGTTAAGCTCATTTCGCATTTGCTGATTTTTTAAAACGACCAAGACTACCAAAACGTTTACGATAATCCCAATAAAGCTAAGAAGGCCATTGACAACAACAAGAAAGATCACCTCCGTCCCAATCATATTGCAAGTTCGGTTACAGATGCTACACTAAATAATGACAGTGAAACACGGGTTATCTGTTAATTAAGGGAGAATTTCTTGAACGCAAGTACGAGATAACACTGGTAAATCTAATTAAAATTTTACTTGTTAGGTCTATTTGCCTAACAGTAAATAATAAAACCGATCAAAATTACTATTGACTTTGGAAGTTGTATCCTGGGATTGGTCTGGATGGATGAAACCCTGTGTGTTGATAAATACAGCATCAGCTGTCAAAGTGAAAGCCTGAGAAAAAAGTGCCACAGTTTTTAGCCTCTGTTTGTCTCTCTACAGTTGTCGACTAACCTTCGTGTAATACTCTCTTAAATCTTTATCACTTGGTACTCGTCTCGTTTCTCTTAGAACTCAGATCTTCAATTTTTCACAATTAGAGTTTGCGTAAAACAGTGCTGCCTTTTAGCCGTTGAACTCGAGAAAATTTTCTTTTTCGCCTCAAAAATTGTTTCAAATTCATTAACTCTCGTTATACCTCGAGGATAAATATATTGCACCGGCGATAATAAAATGACGCTCTATACTGTTGTCCATTTAAGGAGGCTCCATAAATTGTACATCAACGGATCAGTATTTGACAAACAACCATTTTTTTGTTTATTTTGAACATGTGTCACCATAGCAATGGCATTAGAATTTGTTTTGTGCAGGGACTTCATCAAAAAAGATCTTTTGACGAGGTTTGACAAGATATGTGGGGCCTATAGGTACATGTAAAACAAAAATATTTTTTTTCGAGGTCATTTCGTCCGTTTCCCGTAATTTGCTTCTTTATATATGCCTTTGCTTCTCAATTTCTTCTCAATTCTCAGAGGTAATGGGCAAACATGTGTCATGCACGACAAGACATGCTATTATATGATCATTCCCAGGGTTTTTGTACCAGATACGGGGATTACATTAAAATTGACCAAGGAGGTTAGAACAGGGAATAATAATACAGACTTTACTGAACCTCCCCATGCCAGTTGGACCTTTTGAGGAACGATAATCGGGGTTCCTCCAATTTGTTTTGATCAAAATACCACGCATCAATATCTGAATAAATAAATAACTATTTATTTCAGTATCTTGAACATTGCTTAAGCATTTATAAAACAAGAGTTATTGGTCTGACTTAACTTAGATATTCAACGTGAATGCCGGTGAGGGCAATCTGAATCGATTGTTTCTTTTAAGCTTCATTACATTCGTACAAGTAAACAGGCTCTAAGAAAGGATGTTTACAAGACGTGGCTACATTCCAGTCGAGTGAAGTTCAAGCGTGACTTAGATGTTTCACTATTATAACTAAGGGGGCTATCCAGTCAACGTGATCGCGCTTTATTTTTTGTTGCTTATTATCATCATTTGTTATTTTAAAAGGTAACATGAACTGAGTCATGTTGCCACAGTTGAGATGAATAAATAGCTTTTACCTGCGTTGCTGGTTCTGTAAAAGATAGGATTCTCTGCAGCTCCCGCTGTTTAATCAGGCTAAATTATTTCCGGTTATTTCATATGAAGTGTGCTCACAGCTGCTTCATAACTCGACGTTGTCGTCTGTGTAAATATTCTTTTAAGTTAATAAAAAGCTGCGTCACAAATTTGAACATTTGAGCTTCAAGTTTTCAATTTTAGCAACATTAAACCAGGCCAGGACTCTTAGTGATCCGGCCTTCTCGATCAATAATAGTCCTTATTGTTGACCTTACCAGACTGGTCATTTGTGACTTATATATTCGTCTCAGTGGTTTTCGTATTCCTTATTTTAACCTTCTTTGGGTATAGTTTCTAATATTTCTTGCGACTGGAAAGAAAAAAGCCGCGACATTACATTTGTCAGACAATCATTCAACACCGTTCGATCAGTACAGCATGCAACACTGAAATCATGCACATGAATTCAATATGTAAAAATAACCGACCTAGTACAGTGTCGCTCAGCTCGAGTAGATTAACTCTTTCTCCTTACTTCATGAACTGGTTGGGGTAATTTAAGGGGTCCAATCGACCGTTTTAACTCGGTCTTTGTTTAAAATTGTTCCTAACAACAACAGCCAATGATCAATGATTTCGTACTTCTCATCACCTATGTTGCTGACTGTGCACTGTTGTAAAAGGGGGGAGTTAGAAACAAGTTACTTTTGGAAAGTCGTGTAAAGGGTAAATACCCAAGCACAACAATAACGACGTCCAAAATAACTAAACGACGATACACTTGTGCCTTATCTAAAACAGCGATCAAGAACGGTTGAAGATAGCGTAAGAGAACTACGCTGAAGGTGTGTCTTAAGCTCTTCCGTGAATAAATTAACTATCAGTGCTCTTCCGTTTATAATTAACTGTTGTTTCTTGTAATAATGACGTACGTATGAATATTCTTTCACAACACCCAACTGAATAAGGATGAATTCAGTTTAATTATTTCCCCAATTTACAATAAAAGTCTATTGTCGCAACTGTAACCACAGATCTAGGAATTCATAACCATTGGAACATATCATCCCCAGCACTTTATGTCCGGCCTGGCCTATTTGAGAACTTCAAGCGGTTAAAACGTAAATGTAACGAACACTTCTTTCCCCCGGCAACGCTTTAACATGAATACAATTTTGACTCCGGGCCCAAAAATAACGCACAACACTCTTTTTAAAAATAGCTATAAAATTATCTCCCGGCCCGACAGGTATAAAAGATTCATTACTGAACGATATGATATCAAAATCACAAATTTTGACGAGTCTAAGAAGATCTACACACCTAATTCTGAAAAATAACTAAAAATGATGTTGAAATTGTGTTTAAAGGTAAGAAACTTATCACTGTAACTGCAAGCCGTCATCAATTATAAGTCAAAGAAACTGAGCCATTGAAGTCAAGGGTATTCCTGTTTTTGTTTTGTTTTGTTTTGTTTTTTTACCAACTTTCTATGAATACCGGCTTTCTATTACTTAGTTTGCTATAAACGATTTAACCTCCGATTTTAGGCAACTCACGATTGGCCCACGGCCTCTTCGGTTAAGGCTATATGTGATTTCGCAGGAAAATTGTTAAATATTATTTTCAATATTTTGTACCTTGGAAAACGGCTTTGGTCTGTCGACTCTTCATCCATTGTTTGTTCTTTTTTTGCAGTTATTGTTCGTCCTTTGTGCGTGTATGCGTCTACAAACTCAAGTACAGGGTAGACCGTACAAATCTCAAGAAGCAGAGGAGCAGAGATTTACTGAAGATCTGCATAAATCAACCCAAGCAATTCAGAATGAAACATTGGCCGTTCGAGGCAAACGAGAGGTGATTTACAATTTCAAAGACTTCTGCGATGCTGCAAATTATGGTGTCTCTTATGGCCCGCCGTCAACATCGTCAAACGGCTGTGAAATTGGACGTTATTACTGTAGAGGTTATGCTGAACCGGTCTGCACTGAAACATTTAGCTTTGGGTGCTATACATTAGGTCCCTATGGAATTCCCAAATGTACTGCAACGGTTGAAACTGTGGAAATTGAGAACAGAAAAGTTAAAATGACGACGGCTTGCGGCTGTGCACAGTGACAGACAAATTTCAATGGTATTATCAAGAAAACGAATGTAAAGTTTGTATATAAAAATAGGTTAAGTCTGTATACGAGCCAAGTGGCCCACCAGGCCAGAAATTATCCCGGTTTCTGTAGCATGAGGCAACTAGGAGTATTTCTACTCCCCCTTGGATGGGATGCTAGTCCATCGCAGGGTTACCCCCAGCATTACGTTCGCCGGTACCCATTTATACACCTGGGTGGAGGGAGGCATTGTCAGAGTAAAGTGTCTTGCCCAAGAACACAACACAATGTCCCCGGCCAGGGCTCGAACCCGGACCGCTCGATCCGGAAACGAGCGCGCTAACCATGAGGCCAGAAGTATGTATATGAGGAAGAAATATGTGCTTTTTATTTATTAAAATAGGTTATCAATTTTTGAAAAAATGACATAATCATAATAGTTTGATAATAAAAGAAAACTTTCTCTGCTAGGATATTGTTATATTGTAACAATATTATGAGTCAGTGCTATTGTAATACCTTATTCTTGATGAATAAAAATGATTTTAATAATTAAACTGACAAATAGTTGTGCGTGCTTTTTTTTCAATTCGTAACCCCTATCAAGCATAGACATTTACAAATTGAATTTATTTATTTTCAAGAAAAAATAAGATCTGATAGTGGCAGTGTATATTAATGTCAAGTTAACCCAAACAGTTAACTAACAATAATAACGCCTTCCAAACTAAAATGTGGCATTCCAATTTAGAAAAATTCCGAAGAGTACTGGTATTTGATGCTGAAAAAGTTATTGTTTCCGAAAGGTTTTTGCTAATTGGAAGGAGAAAAAGAAGTGTTCAGTTGAGTCCGCCAGGGACACTACTTCCAAATTTACCAAAATGTACAATTTAACGTGAATAAGATGGTGTATGTAAAAACGATCGTGCACCCATCGCGCTTTCCTTCTTTGAGAGATTCAGATTTTCTGATCCACCGGCCCACAACTAATCAGAACAAATCGGTCCTCTATCTATAATTCTAAAAGGATTCAGAATTTCTGATCCCCCAAGACTTTAAGTAGATTCAAAACTTCTGATCCCCCCAGTCCAGAACCCATCAGAGCAAAACAGTCATTTTTATAATTCTAAATGCATTCAGAATTTCTGATCGCCATCACCTCACAGGACAAAAACAGGTATCTGTTCATGGTTCCAAAAGTATTGAGAATTTCTGATCCCCCTCCCCCACCAAATCTGTTAACATGATAGCAAGAGCTTTCTATTTATAATTCTACAACAATTCAGAATTTCTGAACCCACATGACTTTAAGGGATTCAAAAATTCTGATCCCCCAGTGCATAACGTATCAAAACAAAACGGTCATCTACCTATAATTCTTAAAAGGTATTCAGAATTTCTGATCCCCTCCCCTTATCAGGTGAAAGGACAGAAATAGCTGATAACTTAAAAGATCGTCAACGTCTTATGACTTATAATTG